CACAAGCTTCCACTTATCCTCAATAGCATTCTGATGCATTTTTGCCATGGGCAACCTCGATTTTAAGTGATGACAGCTGATCTCCTTTTTAAAACATGCTTTAGAGCGATGGAAACGAAACTCCTCACTTTAACAACACACAACAACTACCCTTCTAAGCAGATCGACTGTATTTTGCACTCTACACATCGACAACAGCGCCACCTCACCACTCCCATATCCTATTTGCGCATGCCAGCCCTTCTGTGAGTTTCAAGGTTAAGTTGCCACTATTTAATTTACAACCCTCGTAAATTTTTCAAAACACATGAAACATTTTTAAACAAGTCTATATATCATAATCTTTATATATCTTCAATTTCATTGAAAATATTTAGAGACATCACTATTGGCTAAAATATATCTAGATTCATAATTGTAAATATTTTATAATTTCAAAAATATATTTCAAACTGTTTCAAAGTACTCAGTCACTTTTTCAATGATAATATAATAATAATTAAAATAGAAAACTAATGAACTTTTCTGGAATACAATTATTAACTTTTAAAACAAAACGTCTATGTAAATAGCATGTTGATTTCTCTCTGTTTATTACTTATGGATTAAAACCATGTGTAATGAAATATTCTTGCTGCATTTTATATTTTTTTAAGTGTTAAAATTCATGTATTATTTAAAAAGTTGTACTATTTTTAAAATTTTTTTTATCAGAAATATTTATTTATGAAAAAAAAGGTTTAAACATGGTAAGATATGCACTAAAAAAATATGTATGCTGTTTTTAATTTTTATTCAATTTTCGGTTGCTTTAAAATCAGTTCATGTTTTTCGCTAAAATGTTTAGTAACAATGTAAAGTTAATTCCTAATAACAGGTTTGGCTGGAAGTAATTTTGTGTCATTCATCATAAAATTAAATATAACACATTTCTTGGTCTAGTAGCGAATTATAAAAACTTCTAATAATTTTTTGAATGTTTTTACCAAATTTCTTTATTTACTCTTTTTTTTTTATATATATACTTGAAAAAAATTGCAAATCTTAATTCTTTTATTTATTGATTTAAAGAAAGCCAACTAATTGACACTGTCACTGGCAGTATATGTACATTGATGATGCACAATCATACTATTTTGTTTAAAGAGTGAAAACCCTGAAAAATTTCAAATTTAAATTGAAGCTGAATTATTTGTAACATTTATAAAGAACCAAAATAAAGAAAAATAGATAAAAAACACTGATACAAACCATGTTCTGTGTTGCTTGAAAAGAAAGCCAGTCGACACTATTTTACGTTAGCATGAACAAGATATAAGCTGGCTATAATTTAGTTTTTGAAAAACTCTCACCATGTTGGTGTAAGTATTAGTTTCAAATTCGGTGGAAAATTTCCATGTAGGTATGTCAGTATCTACCACAAAATAATCAAGTTTTGGCTCTTTTCCAAACATGCAAGAAAGTAAAAACTTTTTTGACGGGAACCAATTCTAAGGGTATAACTTTTAAATTTTCGAGTTTCAAATCCCCTTTTGAATTGAAGTTCATGTGTATGGATATCAATACAGAATTACCCTCCTAATTGATTTAATTTTGATAAAAATTAATTTTTTTCAACTCTGCTTCGAAAATCATGCATTATGTATACATTTCAAAAATTTTAAGTGTGTTTCTTATTATATGTTGTCGAATTATATTCTGTTATATTTTTTTAAAGATGATTTTTTATGATAAAAGCATGTGATTAAAGTATTCTTAAAAAACTTTTTGTTTTATAAATTAGTGTGTTATTCAAGCTGGTAAAAAATTAAAAATAATTGATTTTGTTTAGTGCACTATATATCCACATATTGTAGGGCTTATTGTTTTCCTGATATTCTTCATAGAAAATATTTTGCTTTCATTTCATACTTTTTGTCCTAATAATCCTGATTTTTGTGTGTGCTCGAAGCATCCCATTTTGTAAGAATACATATGCTGACTTGTAAAAAATAGATTTGAGGAATCCAAAAGTTTTTGATCTAATATCTTTTTGTTTTGATGCGATCATTAATTGTGCCCTATGCTGTTCAGTTCTTGCTGGAAATAGTAAAACTTTCTGTTCTAAGCAAAGTATCTTTAAAATTAAAAATAGTATATTTTGCTTTTCTTCGGCAATAAAATTTTCTTTTATTGCTCTTAAGTCGAACAAATCATACTTTGTTTTCATTTTTTTACCTTTTTAAAAGTAATCTGGTTTATGTATGATGCTCCAAAATATTTCTTAATTTTTTTAAAAATAATAAATGTTTTGATTTTCTCATTGGTGCAATACAAAGCCTGGGTATTACTTTGATTAAAGTTTCCTTAAAATCAAATGCGGCTCATTGTCTTCATAAAACAAAAGGTGAAGATTGTATTTCACAGAAGAAAAAAAAGAGTTGCACTTTCTGTATAATTTGATGTTTTAGAGAAAGGCACCATTTTGTGGCATCCACTTCAGAACTGATCAGAAATTCTTCAAGTTAGATACTTTTGAACTATCGACTATGAACATATAAAGTGCTGTTAAAAGTATATTACAACTCCCCCCCCCCACTAAGACCAGTGCGTTTGACTACACTAAATAGCTACAAAAGGTGGCGCATGTATCTTTTATGAAACAACTATAAATAAATAGTTGTCACTATAAAAGTTCCTATGCTTGTACTTGCATGTAGTAATTCTTATTCCTTATAGTGAAAGCGGATTTTATATTTGCAATATTTTGTAATTTTGAAATTTTGTCTCTGCCATATCTTAATAGTAACCGAATTTGAGCATCTTTTGTAGCAGCACTGTTTAAAAAGCAATGGCAGAAACAGAAAGCACATTTCCATAACTAAGAAATTCAATAACACTTTGACTCTTTATCACAGAGGAATTCATTGTATCAGCAAAACAATGAGTCACATTGAAAGAAACATGGAGAAAGATAACCAACATTGTCAGAGCTATCACTTTTCACTTACGATCGACGAAAAATTCTTACACAAGCTTGTGGTTGTTGATGTTATAGTAAGGAGAAGTGCTTATTTTCCGCATTTGAAAATCGGGAACAATGCTCCCCATTGCAAGTGCAGACATCAATCCATCAGGAAACATTGTGCATGTCTCAGTAAATTACAATTTTTAATGCATTGAAAAATGATCCAGACATCAGATTGAAGATATCACAACATTGAAGTTTTTCAGTGCATCCTTGTATAGCCCTTTTCTAGTAAAAAGGTTTGTAACCACATGGGGTTAAGTTGGGATAGTTAGGAGATAGCCTTTAGTGCAAATTTTTTTTTCCTAATCAAATTTAGTTTCATGCTTTCTTTTCTAAAAGTAAAAATATATATTGATGTATTTTATAAAAAAAATATTTTTTACGGATAGATGTTCTTAGAGTTGTATTGAACATTCAGTTTCAGATTAAAATAAGTTGCTGAACCATCTTACTCACAGGGTTATAATAAAGGAAATTTAAACCATCTGTTGAATTTTACTTTTGATGTTTGAGAAGGTAAGGTAAGCGATCTGGTTCTGGATATAATAAAAATAAGGGATTAAAACATCCAAAATGTAATAAGGAACTCTTGTTGTAAGTCTTCTAATATGATTTTTCAGTAAGAAATTTTCTTGTGTATATTTGAAACAATTTTGAAAGAAAAATTCGAAACCAGCAATTTCCATTTAACTACTTCCTGTTCATTTTTTGCTTAGTATTTTAAACTGGGATTTTGAATTTTACTTACACATCTAAAAATAATTAAAACTATTGGTTCAAACAATTTTATTTTAAATCAGATTTGAAAGAAAAATTCAAAATCTGTGATTTCCATTTACAAGTTATGTGATTCTGAGGTGCTTTGGTGGTATTGTTTTTTTACTTCCTCCTTTAAACTTCAGTTTAGTACTGTATAGCCAATTTTGATTCTATCATCAAATAACAATTATCAATGATTTTTTTATTTTTATTAATGTTAATACTTATTACTTTTTTTATTTTATAATATAAAATATGATATTACCATATTTTATACTTTGAATTGGATATAATATAAAAAAAACACAACTACTTCCACTTCGAAAATTTTAGTAGGAATAACATATACTACCGTGCAATGCTAAATGAATAGAATATAGTGGTTATTGTTTAATATTTTACATGCGCTAATTTATGTTGATTTGAAAACATGGATTTTTTTTAAAATATGGATTCTATAGAATGATGTCCGTTAAGTTTAATTGGTTTGATGTCTCACGTTGTCAGAAGAGAAAAAAAACTTTTAATTTAATTAATAAACTGAGTTTTAAATTATGTTTACTAAAAACATTGAGTTACTTAGATGAAACAACAAAATCAATTATTACAAAGCGAACTTTTCTATTTAATATAATATAATCTGGCGAGCAGCTATTTAAAAGATTGAACATTCCGTTTGTTTATTTGTGGCTTGATGTCAGGCTCGCAGAAAATACCGTTCACTGGTTAAATTTAGTAGGAATAACACAACCTGTGACGTAGGCGATAGTATACCCAATTGACCAAGGTGAATGGAATGGGTCCATTTGAAAACATTCACTTATTTCCAAAGTTTTTTTTTACACAATTTTTTTGTTGAATCTTTACAATTTAAAATTTACTGTCTTGTCTTTTATCAAAATAAAATCAGGTTTAGTAATAATTGAAATTTTATTTCAAATTGACTTAATTTTTATTTATTACAAATAAATTTTTTATTTAAATCTGTTAGTAGTACGATTCACATTGCTGTACCACAATAATAGCGTTTCTAGATAGCATGTCTGGCCTAACGAGAATTTTTTTTTAAAAATACAAGTTACTCTCAACGTGTTAATAACAGTTGTCAGCTTTTAAGCTTCATCTAACAAATTTTATTTGTTTCAATGAATTTCATTCTGGTCCGGACTTGTACCCTGATTAATATTGATAATAATTTCTGATTTTTATAATAGTATTTTCTTTTTTCCAGATTTAAATTTTTATTGGCAACACTTTGGGTGAAGATTTTGACTAGGATCATTAAAGTGTGTATTAATCAGAAGGTAAGCTGTAGAACACCATGTGTGCTTTTTTTAAATTATTTATTATGTATGAAAGTAATGAAACTTTATTTAAAATTATATGTTGCCAATTCGTTGCAAGGGATAATGGAGATTATTCTATGTACCAAAACAATCCAGATAAGCTTGTAGATTGGTCATTAATTGAAGAAATGGTATGTGCAGATTTTCTGTGAGATAGTCTGTGACATTGGGAAAAGTAATTTTTTTATTATCATGCTGTTAGTAAATGTATAGTTTTATGTAATTTATATTACATCGAGTAGCCTACACAAGAAATATTTTCTTAGTTAATTATAGTTAATTTTTTTTACTAATAACTTCATAAGAAATTGAAAATTTTGTTTTAGGATATAATTTAATTGTTGTTATGCATCAACAAAGTGCTCAAAAATTTTATCTCTTAATTTAAAATAATATTGTTTAGGTTTTAATTAAAAAGTAACATAATAGATAAAAAAATTTTTTTAAACAATTGAAACTTTCTGCAATAATTTTTGTCCTTGTACATATCTCAGAATTTTGTATTTCTTCAGCGTTTAACATGTCATGATGCCATCTTGCCCAATTTGTCTTCACATTTCAACTGCTGCAAAGATGTGTGGACATGTTTTTTGCTCTCCCAGCATTCTACTTTATTTGGCTTTAACTGATAAATCTTGGCAAAAATGTTCTATTTGTTTTGAAGCAGTGCATAAAATGGATTTAAAAAGGTAATTTTATTTATTTATTTATTATATTGTGAATTTGACAGTTTCTTGATGGTGATTTGAAATTTCAACTAAATATAAGTAAAGAATAATTCAATTTGTTACTTTAAATGGTTATTATCTGTTTTTATCATTTATTATCTGTTTTTAGGCATATTATTTAATTACTGAAGTATTGTTTCTCATCTTATTTAAATAAATATATATATATATATATATATAATGAGTGAAAGTAAAGTTAGTTATATGTTTCCAGTCTTTCGGTGGATTTTATTTATTTTTTCTCTTATAAAAAAGAAAGTGAGTTAAGACAAGCAAAAAATTTAAGATAACAATAATTTGTCATTTTTCTTTATATTTCGCAACATGTGTTACTGTCTGTATGTATATCTATCCATCTATCTATCTATGTGTGTGTATATATATAATATAAAAACTGTTTGTTGGTATTCTTGTTTAAGAAAATGTTTATAAGACTCTTTGCTTTTTATTTCCTACACGGTGAGGGCTTTATTAGGTAATAATAAAATATTAATGATTAAGTTAAATAAAGTGAGATTATTTCCTATAATTATATATTTTTTAGCAATCATAAGTCTTCAGTATATTTATATTTTTAAAGTATAAATATTTGTATCTAATTTTTTCGATCCTTTTAAAATTTGGATACCTCCATTCTGTTTTAAAATTTTCAATTTTTACCACATTTACCCCTGTTGAAAGTAAAGACAATTTTAGAAGTCAGAAATTAAAAGTGCTAAGCGCATTTTTGTTGCTTTAAATAAACTTTTACTTCTGAAATCTTAAATTCTTAGTTGTTGTCTTATGATAGCTAATTATTTTTAACATATAATATAGCTGTTGGAATGCCTTTGCTTTTTCCTTTATCTTTCAAGGACACAAGTTTAAAGGTATTAAAAAAAAATTGAAAATAATTTTTTAAATTTATTCTTTGTGTTTTTTTTTTTAAACAGTGTTTCCATAAAACTATGCAAGTTCTGTAACTGTTGGAGATGAAATTAAATTATGCTTAATGAAAAGATAGAAAGGATCACTGGTTTCTTTACCAGTTTCTATTGAAAATGCTCATATAGCTATATTTACTGTCAATGACGATATGTATTTTTTTTTTTTATAAATAATTTTTTACAATAATTTGTTACAATTTAATGTATTTGTTACAATATAATATATTTGTTACAATAATGTTTTACATTTGGTGTTGGGTAATTTCAAATTCTTGCCCTTTTTGATTAGTTATCAGCAATCAATTGTATATTTTTTTTTAAAAAAAAAAACTGAACAACTTGTGCAGGAGGAAAGGAGACATGCGGCAGAAATTAGCCTGCTGCGACTTATGTCATTACATAAGTAATTAGAAATATAAAATCAGTATGAAAACGCTCATTGAATTAGTATTTATAAATATCTTCATGAGCAGAAAAATAAAAACTTCGTTAATGGATTAAAAAAGACTGAGAAACTTCTGAGTCACCCCCGCCCCCATCATAAATTCAGTTCGTTATTAGAAAAAGCGAAATGCATTAAAAAGTAAAAATGATCATTGAATAAAAATAAAATATTAATAAGTAGTAAATTGCATATTTTTTTAAAAAAAATAAACATTCTATTTTAATATTTTTTAACAATGACTATTATTTCTTAACAATTAATATTATTTCTTAATATTATATCTTTGCAAAATAATGGTTAAAAATGATGAACGGCTGCATTGAATGTAAAAAGAAAACCAGGATTTGCGCAATTAAACGAAGGCATGTGTACATAAGTGAGAGAGATTCTCCATCACTTTAGGATTCATCATGTCAGCGACAGGATGAGTCATCATAAAAGAAACACAGGGGAAAATAATAATCATTGCCACAACTATCACTGTTCACTTGCAATCGAAAATTACTCTTTATGCAAACTTGCAGTCGTAGATGCCATGATTGGGAAAAGTGATCTTTGCCAAACTTGTAACCATCGATGTACTATTGTAAACAGTCAATAAAAGTTTTTCCTCTACTGTTTTTCAAGTTTTCACTGTTTTTTAAGCCGCTACTGGTTTCTTGCGTACAACAATGACCCCCCCCCCTTCAAGAGCGTTGTACTCATTGATTAGAGGAAATCATGCTGTCTACACAAATGTGTTGCTACCACCTTTAGTGGAAATGACTAAATAGCTCTTCTAAGCTTTGTTTTGTAATTTAAGCAGCAGATTTTCTGTCCAGTCCAGGGGCTCAACGCTTGATGGGTGTTAAATTTTATTAATTTCCCCTAGTCTCCAAATTTTATTATATTTTAAAAATCTCCCTAAAGTTAGAAAAATGTCTGAAAAAACCCTTAGCATAAAAGGCTTTTTTTTCTTATCTCATTATTTGCTTAAGAATATATGTGTGTAATGTGAACTATTAAATAATAATATTTAATTAAGAGAATGTTCTAGGTGATTCCAGAAATTACTTATGGCTGGTCAGAAGGAAGTCTTTTCTGTCATTGAAAGAGAGAGAGCTGCTTATGAAATGATCACTCCAGAGGCTTGCTTTATGGAATCTGCCTTTACGGTAAGGTCAAAGCTATGCCAATAATTCAATTATTTTCAACTTATCTGATTTGTTGTTTTTAGTTTAGTTTAATTTTTAAAATTTATACCTGTGATATTAATATTTCTTTAATTTTTATGAACTGTAACAGTTAAAAATAATTAATGTTTGAAAAGTTAATGTATTAATGAAAATATTTGAACTGAATATTGTCTCTTGATAAAATCTCATTGAATAATATAATATTTTACTGAGTGTTCACTATCCTTATATTACTTATACATAAAATAAATTTGAAAGAGCATGGAAGCATAAAAGCATGGAGCATAAAAGCATGGATCATATTTCACTTAATGCTTAATATCTTTTTTAAGTGAATTTTGCTCTGATGTTAGTTACATACAATGTGTTCAGAGTTTAATACTAACACTGCCCAGAAAAAGTGAAATTTCATTAAACTTTTGTTTGTGTATAGGGAAGACCACTGTAAATTTTTTGATTAATTGATTTATTGAAAAATTTTACTGTTATTTATTTCACAAGTGTTCATTAAAAGAAGATAACTGTATCCCCACAACCAGTTGTCAACTTTTATCACTTAAAAATTTAGTTTGGTATTTAACATTCTGAAGTTTTTTTTTTCTTGGCAGCTACTTCATGAAAGGGATATTGCTTTAAACCAGAATGTAGATCAACTAAAGGAGCTCATTTATAGAAGCAATGTATGTGATTTTTTTAAAAAAAATATATTGGAACAATGTGTTTGTCTCTTAAAAACAAAATTTTTAATTTTGTTCCTTCTTTGAATTATTTGAATATTATATTCTTGCAAACTTTATGACTTCTATAGCTATATATTACCTCGGCAACGAATTTCTTCTCTAAACCTTTCTTTTTATTATTTTCCCTTTTTTTGGTGGGCATAATTTCATAAATGCCAACTCTACTGTTTTTAACTGCCTTCCAATTTTTATTATCTCGAAAATTTTCCCCTCTTTTATTATTTATTTATATTTTTGTGAAAAAGTTTAAAAAAATCCTCTTAATTTCATCATTAATCTGTTTGCACTCAAAAGAGAGCGCCAGTAAAACTGTCACAAGTTTCATATCAGATAACGCCTGACAGTATCTTTGCAGTTGCTCTCATTGGATGAAATACATTCATGCTTAGTTACATTTCTGCTGACACTGACTTAGTGGGAATATGCTCTTTGAAATAATTTCAAATTGAATGAAAGGAAGCAAAAGTTTGGACTTTTGTCTATATCTGTTTATATGCTTTTTATTATTATTAAGTAATAAAGATTGATTCATATAGAATAATTATTTTATTAATTTTGCAGGCTTTTAAAAAATACAAAAAAAGCCTTTTAAAATAAAAATTCTAGATTCTTTTCAAAATTTTTACTATCTTATTTATCTGTAAATTAATAATTAAATTATAGCTTTATTTTATTGATTTGAGTTTACAATGCTCGATATTCATTTCTATGATATAAATTTTTCGGACAATTAAGCTTACATTTTTGAATTACATTGCTTTAAATAAAGCTATTTTAAGTTTTTATCTTTTTTATAGTTTTCAAATAATATAAGAATGTAATTTATGTGGAAAAAATTTTTATTGAAATTTAATACATTATATACATATACTAAATCTTTTACTTCATATTGCTATCTTAAAATGCGATTAATATGTCTAAGGAATTAAGAATGTAAGGTTGGTGGCATGTACACATTTTAATTTTAGTGTCTCTAATTTTAAGCTTAAGATAATTTGTCTAAGGTTCAGATAATTTGTCTAAGGTTAAGATAATTTGTTTACATTTTGTTTAAAAATATTTTTTGCAGTTAATAATACAAAGTTCATTTAGTTCTTCAAAAACATATACGACTTAGGAAAATTAGAATTAGTTTAGTTAACTTGTTAAAATTATCTCTTTAAAAATAAAAATATTTACATTAAATTTTGTATAAGTTTCATATAATTGCATTTTAGGGTAATGTACCAGAGAGAAAACATCTTATTTCAACAAGTTTAACTGAGTCTTATGAAGAATTACATGAAAGTATGCTGTTTTTACCTATCATATAGCGTTAAATATTTGTTACTGTTAATAAAAATATGTTAATGCATATAAAAGAATTAAAATTTTAATATTTCTTTCCATTTTTTCTTAGTTTTTTAAAAGATGCAAGTTAATTAATTGCACGTATGAATATTAATTTCCTACTGAAAAATAAGAAAAAGTGCAAGTTCTAATATGTTTCATTGTAGACATAATTAATTGATGATTGACATTCAAAGATGGTTATTTGAAGAATTTCTGGAGAAATTGTTTCAGTTGCAGCTGCGATTCAATTTTTTAGAATCCTTTAATTCAATATCGTTTTTGCATGCACACATTTTTTTGATGTATCACCAGAAAGTCTAGCGGTGACAGGTTTTTGTGCAGTCCAAAAATCCAGTCATTTCATCTATTTCATGAATTGGGTAACCTCTCATTTAAGGTTTCACTTCAGATAGGAAATATTATGAGAATATTTTGGCCTGTTTAAAATCATGCTATTCCCAGTTACAGCTTTAAAATTGTGATCTTGTTTACTTAAATTTTCAGTAGATTAAAGAAAAGTTTTCCAAACTTGCTAAATGTTTTCAGTTGACCAGTTGATATGTCAATAATTAATACATGTATATGTTAATTATGAAAATTTCTATATGTTAAAAATTAGTATAAAACAGGTTTTTTTTAAAAATTTCCGGGAAGTATTTGCTGTAAAAAAAGGTGTTAGCATTGAATATGTCGTGTTTTTATTTGTTAGTAGTCTAAATAAATTAGCAAATAAAAGGCATCACCAGACATAAACCTATTGTAATCCCATTGAGAAAAATCAAAACAATCTCGTCATTCTCTGAGTTTGAAATAAATGTTATTGTGCCTAAGTTTGAAAAATGAATAAATAAAAAACTGTGGTTT